GCAGAATATAGATATACACATTAGACTTTGGAAGTGATTTGTTATGAGCATCCTCTCAAGTAAAATAGAGTGGTCTTAATGGGGATAATAATTTGAAAGCAATCAATTGACATCAGTGTACTTTTGTGTGCCCTTGATTGCATCTTTCAGGCGAGATTGAGGTGTCCCATTGCCAGCATAAATATTTTCCTTACTTGCCAAAGTGAAGTGCAAATAGTCATGACTAAAGCTAAAATGAAATCTGAACGCCCCACTGGGTTACTTGTACCGTAACAGCTAGAAGCATCAGCCCAGATCAGAAGAGCCATACTATGCAAAATAATATAGAGAGATGTAAAGAGCAAAATCCCAGTCCCTTCTCTAGTGATCTTCTCAATAGAATGAGAGAAGCATCAGCTCAGGGAAGGCTTGTAGGAGAGGAAAGGGAAACAAATATAAAATGTTATTTTTAAAGAAATTTTGCTCTGATAAGCTATTTAAAAGCAGATGCTGGCAAAAGCTCCCTCGCAGGTGCTTTATCCACACACACAAATGCTTCAGTACAAGGCATGGAACTTTCAAGAACAGAGTGGGAGTACCATGTATGAGAAGCCTGACATCTTATTTCTTTGTTTTTTTGGCTTTGTACAAATGAGTGCTGTGTAACAGGATAGCCAAGAATATCTGAAAAGGAGCTGCAGAAGAATGTAACTATGTATTTTTCTTGTTTCATTGCAGTCCTCTGTTTCTAATTATAAGCCAGCTGCTGAAGTGACTTCATCCAATAACTATTTTGATTTGATCCTGTCTACCACTCTAGTCTCAGCCTCACAGTTCCCAAACTCCAGTCATCTATGCAATTCAAAAGAAATAAGATTCTAAAATATTAGATACGTCCTTTCTTTCCTTTCCCAGAAAAATCTCTTACAATCCCCTACCTAAAAACCCCACTCAAAAAATCCCACCAAAAACCACAATCCCCCCACGTTATAAATGCAATTTTTCTAAGTAAAACATGGTTTTCAAGAAAAATAAAAAGGATTGTTACGTGTTGCAACTTTCATTAATATGTTTGTATAATTTTGTCTTTTATAGGCATATCAGTACAGTAATGAGTACAAAGAAATATTTGTGTTTCAGGTATACAAGAAATCTTGTGGACAGTGGAAATGGAAAGTTCAACTTGATGATCTTGTGCTGGGGTGAAGGGCACGGCAGGTTCGTATCCAGAGACAATGGTTTTAGTGAACATATAAATTCATGGCATCTTTCACAGCCATACAAAATACAGAAGAATAATCAGCCCTATGGGAGCTATCAGAAGGTGTCTGGAAACTAAGCAGTGCAGAGCTCCTATTGGTATAGCAGTCTTGAACACTTGTTGTAACTTCTGCAGGTTTGTACCTCATGGCCATTTTAAAACCACTCTTTAAAAAATGTTCTGGTTTTCTACCAAAGCTAAGCTTCCCTTCTGTCAGAGGAAATCTTTAGTCCCAGAGATACAGTGGTTGAACAGATCCTATTCAACCTGTCCCATACAACAGACCCATATAGCACTCAGTTGTAGAAGGAGGACTGGGTGTAGTTTAAATAGTCTTTGTTCTCTTGAGTGACAAGATGAGAAAAGTAGATTTGGGTTAGGACCGCAGATGGTGAGAAGGGAGCCCCTTTCCAGGAGTACTTGGCTTTGTTTAGGTTCATGCATCCCATCTCCTCCCTCAAAATGGACCATACTGCTCATGTGGCCTCTTGAATTGTGTACACAGACTGTATACTGGGTTGTGAAGTCCTACGTGACATGAAGACAGGATCTGTCTCTTGGAGGGTCTTTCACAAAGTGTTAGCTGAAGCAAAATATGGAATAACAAAATTTGCAGGTTTTGACTGATTATTCTTACACATAAATAGAAAACCAAAGGAGATGTTGGAACAAATTTTTTGCTTGTTTCAGCTGAAGATTTATGGTATGCTTTAGGGGATGCCACGATGTTATACTTTGAGGGATATAGGCGCCAAGACCACCACCTCTACTCCTTCCAGGCTATTCCCACAAAACCTGCAATTTATGTGAAACTGTGTTTGAGTTGGATGAGCATTTGCTAGAGCTAGACTGAGGCCACAAGTTGTTTTTTGCTTCCTACATGAACAGGTTCTGATTTTCTCAAGGGTTATGGAAGGAGCAGGACAATGTGGTATTTGTGAACTGTTCTGTGTCTGAAACAAGCTCTGCTCTCTTGGAATCTCAGTTTGTAAGAAGTCTTGATTTTTGTTTACTGAAAACAGTAATGTACAAGTAGTAAATTTTTGGATTGAAACTTAATAGCACTGTACTGTCAGGAGAGTCAAATTCCCAGTTCTCCTTTGCCCCTGATGAGTGGAGGGCTGTTCCTTTGTCCTAATCCCATTGGCTTCTATAACAGTTAGTCTCGTATTTAAAAAAAAAAATTTAATCAAAACTGAACTACATATCTAGCTCTTATGTAGTCACCAAATGTAGCAATTTAAACATACTTGAGAGTAAGAAAACAGATCAAGAAAGCAAGCAAATCATATCATATCCTGTTGTTTTTTCATGTCTTGCCAATGAAATTAACAGATTACTGTAGCTGGTTGTACTTAGTATATCAGAGTGAGAGGCACAGCAATTGTTTTCTTCAACAATGCCTGTGCACCCCAGCATTAAAAGGACCATAGAAATTAAGCAGAATTAGCTTGATTTTCCATGTCTTGGGAGCGAGCATGGTGGATCTGCAAATATCAGGTATACTTGCAAGTTTATACCAGCCTCTGCCTGGGATCATGGTGGAAGCATTTGTTTCTTGACCCAGAAGAGTTTTTGTGTTCTGAAATTTTCTGTCCAGACTTTCTTTGTATTTCCCTGTGTCAAAGTCATGGGTTGATCAGCATCTGACCCTTCCCCGAGTCCCGCGGTATGTAAGCTTATCTCAATAAATTTATAAAGCATCAGTTTTAAGTAGGCATACCTTAATGTGTGACCCCTGTGCAATGGAATGTCATTCTGAGGCTATGTCCAGATAAAATATGCTATGCCATCTGTGCTGCTTGCTGTACTGGAATTATAGATGAGTATCGCACTGAGTTCGGTTATTCTTTTTACATATATAGCAGCATCCATGATCACACTGACTCACACTGCTTTATGAAGATCCTCCAGGGAAATCTAAAGGAGACTCTGTTTGAATGGCCTGGGAAAAAAGGGAATGGTGAAATGACTAAGAAATCAGAACGAGTTTTGAGGGAAAATCAATGTGCCTACATTAATGGTAAGCTATTAAGCTTATTTTGACAACTACCTATCCATTAGTCTTATTCCTAACAGAAGAGTTCATCTGCTCTCAAGCCTCTTACCTTTAACAGTATACTACTAATGGCTTTATGCACAGTTCAAGAAAATGACTTTCTAGATTCTGCACAAACCTGTATTTAGATTCAGTAAAACAAACAAGAACAACAAAAATGTTCTTTTAACTCACCCTTAAGACATTGCAGCAATTGCTTGATACTTTAATGCACTGGGTATCTCCTCTAGACCATGCAGCCTTCAGCATTGTGTCCCTAATGACTATCTGAAGTTGCTTGTAAGCATAGACCTTGAATAGCAGTATGTAAGAAATAAGGGAACCAAAGTTTGGATAGCTTAATCACTTCAGGTTTTTTCCAAGAAATAATCCTTTTGCTTATTCTGGGAAAACCTATGTCAAAAATGTAAAAGCTGTCTATGAAATAAATTGACCAGACAGGAGCAGAGGCCCCAGTCCTCAGTGCTACTTATTGTCCAAATCAGCACAAGACTGTAGAGCTGAAGTGCGGTGTCAGCAGAATTAAAATGCCCAATCTGCAAAAAATTTGCCTTATTAAACCAATGTTGAGAATTACTAAGTCTCCACCAGTAAGGTTTCCTAGGTACCTAAATCCATGCTATCACAACTACCTGTAACTACTACCACCTTGTGCTATGCTGGAGACCATCCTGGAGTGGCCATCTGGGTGTAATGTATTCTGATGTTATGAAAGATACTGCACGTCATGCTGAACAGCAGCGAGTTTGACAGGGCAAAGGCGAAACATCAGAGGAGGGGGTCATCTGACTTATGGGTTAAATACTGGAGGACATACAATGTGGGGCTGAGCTTGGGGATTTGGCCATTGAGGGGAGCCTCATGGTGGGTTATGGGCTTAGCTAGGGTGAGGGCATTAGGGAAAAAAGACTAGTGTTCTGCAACCCTCTGTTGAAGGTATGCCATGTTAAGTAAAAACGCAAAACTAATAGGGCAGGAAACGCAAGCAGGAGCTTGGCACATATGCTGATGCTTCCACGCCAGGGATGCAGGTTGTCAGACTGTCAGGCTTTCCTACCTATGCAGTTCTTTTCCATGCAAATGATTGCACCCTGTGTGCATCTGATCCAAATCTTCCTTGGTTGTTCTAAACAAATTTGGTATCCAGTTCTCTGAGGCAGTTTGGATCTCTGCCACATTTCAAAACAGATGATTTAAAAGTAACACATTAAACAATAAAAGGAAAGCACTGGCAACGTATTGATTGCCGTAACTACTTCAATACTAAGTGACCTTCGTGTTCCTATTGCATGTTTCTTGGTTGCTCCTGTACTTTAGGGTTAGAACTCACTAAAGTGTTTGAGTTCCCCATTAGATGAGCACAGATTTAGGACTTTTTTTCCCCCCTCTACATCCTCTATTTAGATAAAGTATGTTAATGACACTTGGGGCTTACACTTTAAATTGTATCAGGGTTAAGAGTGTATTCATGACTGTCAGGGTATCATGGCTATGTTGCATAATACAGGTCCAGGTATTATATAACACTTTCAAGTACAAAGGCCTGAGTTGTTTTTACAGCAGGGTCATAAACTTAAACTCAAGGTTTCTTTTAAGTAACTCAAGAGTTCCCCATTAGTGTAGAATGCACATGATTTGTTTCATGGATGTGATTGTTCATACTTTATATTTTTATGTAATAGCTTGATTTCTACTTCACAAGTGCAGAGAGTGCCATTACTTCATCAGTGACCATACAGCATAGTGACTTGTTTCACTGTCTTCAGTAATGCTTACTATTCAGTTACAGTTGGAAGTATTCCAGTCACTGCTAATTTGTCATCTTAGTCAAAAGAGCAAACGAATTAAAAGCTTGTTCTCCAAACTAATTAACTGGAAGGGTTAATTAGGAAACAGATGCCTGCAGTAGAAGACAACTATATCTCTGTCCATAAGTCCATTCCCCAGATGCGTGTAGCTGATTTTTAATGTGACTGGTCTCCATTAAATGTCTTCCTAATTTTTAGAAACACAAACCTTTCTGCTCCTGGAGCATCTATAGCAAAAGCCCTCCCGGGAAAGTAAATTAACTTGAAGACCTTTGGGGATGAGAGCTAGCAAATTACTGACAGTATCGTCTTCCTTAAGTTTCTTGGGATTTCTATTGGCCTTTATCCTATGGTGGATAATCCAGAAGTTGTTGTGGAAGGGAGTAATGCATTTTTAATCACCAGTGTATTTAGGAATCTGTGCTAGAGAACAGCAGACAGATTCCCAGTACTGATTACTTGTTGCCCACAGAAGTGCAGGCATGCCTAATTGGCTTGCTCATGAGTTTCAGTTCAGAAAGCAATTTTTGAGGCAACTGACATCTCATTAAACCTTCCTGCTAACACAACTTTTTGTTTCATGCCCTCGCTGGTGTAGATTCCATTGGCCTGCACCGTGTGGAGAACATAAGCCACACAGAGACTGCTGTTAGCCTGCATTTGTACAGCCCACCCTTTGACACTTGTAACACCTTTGATCAGAGGACTGGACACAAGCACAAAGTCACGATGACCTTCTACAGCCAGTATGGGGAAAGGACTTCCTGCGTAAGTATGCGGTAACATGCTCTGCACCTGGCCCTGGCTCTGAACCCCTGCAGGGATGGGAGCAAGGGCCTGCCCATGTGCCTGCACAGGGCAGAGTGCTGGTGCCCCAGGACAGGCAGGAGGTCCAGCAGCCCTGCCTTTCCTGGGGTATCCCCATCTAGGACCAGCATAAAACTTGTTTCTAAGTATGACTTGATTTGTTGATTTGCACTTCCCTTGTGTGGAGTTCCATGCTTTATAGCTTGCCTCCCCTTCATGATCAGATCAGTTCTGAGGAGAGAGGAGGATTGGTGAGAAGTTTACTACTAGCTAAGCTTCTTCAGGCATCAAAGGATGGTAAATGTAAGCTAGTGAAGGGAAAACTGTGAAGCAGCTACATTATTTTGGCCAGCTTTAGTCACATGTAACATTTCCTGCTTAAACTGTTCTGCCAAAAAGAATGACATTTAAGGTCAGAGGTTTAAAACCTTGTAGCTTACCTTAAAGTACAGAATTCTTTATTAAACTGAATTCTTTTAAATCACAATTTTCACACAGTGTGACTTGCTCTGAGAGTGAGAGTAGGCTGGTTGTCTGTGGTCTGCATTCTTGAGCAACGGCATGAGATTTTATTTGGATAGGAAAGAAATGTTAACATCAGTTTGGGGGGGACCAAGCTAGGACATCTGGGAGAGGTTAGTAGGGCTCCTTTCAGCACTATTCTATGCATTGAGAAACATAACTACCTTTACATGGAGAAAAGACTCATTCAGCCACAAAGATTCAAAGACTTTGGTTTTGTTAGGTGCTGAACACTTTCAACTTCCATTGAAGCCAGAAATTCAGGGTTCAGGAGTTTACTAGAGTGGGTCCTTAGTAAGATCCATTAAAAGTTTTATACAGCTAACAATTACCATATAAAGTATTTCTTTGAAGCCTGTCACATTATCTATCACCTTGCTGAGTTTGAAAGGTCCTTGAGAAAGTAAACTCAAATTTATAATGCAGTAATGTAATTACCATGGGACAATATTGAACAAAATTCATGCAAGGATTCAGTGTTTGATTGCTTTCTTTTTGTTTTAAGCCTTTACTGAATATGAAGTGTATAAGACCATAAGTGAGACTAGATGTTTTAACTTGGACTGTTTTCCTACTCTGATCCGTAACTATCTGGCAGCTTTTGTACCTTTTGTGGGAAACTGGATCTGGCTTACAGGAAAGAGGTAAATCTTAATTGTTGGGTCTCTTTCATGAATTCCTGTAAATGGAAATCCAGTCAGGAAGAAAGTGGTATCAAGTCTGGGCCATCCAGCTGCCTGAAATGACTTCATGCTACAAAAACCTTCTGGTCTCAGTGATGGTTTCTGGAAAACTGACTGGAAAAACAAACTTTCTTCTGCTTACCAGATCACAAAAGGACATAGGAAAACAGCTATAAATTAAAAATACTGAGAGAGTAACATTAAGTAAGATTGTGTATCTTTTATGAGAAGATCTGCCTAACTAAAGCACATGCAATGCTTCCTCTCTGTCTTAATTATTTTGCAGGTAAAACACACAGGTAAATCCTTAGTGACTCCTGGCCACGATGAGGCCTTGATTAACTCACTGTCCAACAAATACATAATAAGCTATACAGGCCTAGTAATAAAAATAGTATGTGTGTCAAAGGACTTGCCTATGGCTTCCATGCACAGTTCAGGTGCAAAGCATGAGAATATAGATACGAAAGCTCAGTGAGGGAAAGAAAACTGATATTGTCTTGGGTGTCATGGCATATCAGTACCTACTGCCAGGAATTTTGATGGTGGAGGCATAAAAATTTTGCAGCCTGTCTTCCCAGCTGGACGTTGAATCATTTTCTGGTCAAATGAATTAGAGCATACCGTCAGGCAGAGAAGACAGTCTGAAGAAGCGAGCACCCCTCTGCTGTCCCTTCTGTTGTGGGCTTACTTGTGGTCGCACAGAGCCACTAGACAGGGTGATTTTTACAGGTGTTTAGTACTTTCGACAAGAGTAGTGACAGTAGTGGCAAAGAGCACTGAAAATAAATGCACTAAGTATTTTAAGGTGCTGAGCTATTCTGGGAACAAAGGCCCCTGCTGAGACCATGAAATAGGTGGTGACTGCATCTTTCCTTAAAACGGCAACCTCTTCTCTTTCCTTTTAGGCGACAGCAGTGCCACAGGAGAACAACTGAGAAGCACCAGCATGCATTTACATAAGACCTGCTGAATGTTTAACCATGGGGAGAAGACTTGCATGGCTAATGTTGACAGCCATGTTTTGATACCTTGCACATAGGTGTACACTAGGGCAGCTTCCAGGCCACCCAGAGTTTCCTTGAGTGAATGCCAATTATGGGACACTAAGCTAACTAGTGCCATAAACTACTTCAGAAGTTAAATGCCTTTTCTTAGGCTTCTGTCAGAATTAAGTAGTTTGTGTTCTAATTCTAGCCTCTTTGTAACCTCACTTTTGATATCACACTGAGAATATCTGAAATAGCATTTTCAAATATCATCTGATACTTCTCAATAGGCCTATGTGTATGTATGCTCTCAATGTAATTAGTAACTATATAAACTTCTAAGCTTCCAGTCACTTGTACGTGTGGGTAGTACACTAGATACATCTAACAGCAGCTTTAGCAACTTGGGGATTTTTTCCTTAATTAAGTCCTTTATGTTTTAATGCTCTAGGCCATCTTGATAGTTTTGTGCATTTTTTACTTTTTATTTTTTACAATTTCATTTGTCAGATCTTGTTTCAATTAGGAGCAAGGAAAAGCTTCATGTACAATGATTTTCAAACTGATTGCACAGAGAGTTGGGTTTTTAAGAAGACTAATCATACTTAATTCAGCTAATGTCCAGTTCCCAAGGTATTCTGTATAGGTAATGAAGAAGAAAACTGAAATAAAACTGGATTTGTGCACAGATTTCAAAGTTTTCAGCATCTTTCTCCCAGTGACTAAAATATTCACCACACTTTACCAAAATCCACATACCTCATGAACACCTATGAATACACTATTAGAAGAGACTTAAAAAGCTGAAAGTATTTCAAGCATGCAAAGAATCCTGATCCCAATTAAGCTGGTGGGAGCTCTGCCACTGAGTTCATTGATGCTTAATTTTATCCCCCAGATTTAGTCAGAAGGAAAGAACCATCTTGGAAAGAGTTAACTCTAATTAAATATATCAAAATCAGCAAAGATGTCTGCACTGAGGCTATCCCATTCTTTTAATACAGCTAATAACATATGACAAGTAAAGAAAGTGCAGCAGTTCTCCTAGTCTCATAGGTAACTGCTGGTTATTCAGACAGCAGTTTAAGCTTTAGCAGTATTGGTTTCAGATGTGTCTCATATTTCCCTCCTTATTTACAAACCCAGAAAATACTAACTTTATGAGACCCCATTTCCAATGAGACTGTGGTAAATGTAAAAAACAAATGTTTGAGCAGTGTAGCCATTTTTGAATGAACCTATGCCTTGTGGTCAGAGTGCCACAGCAGCAGAGATGAGCTGAGGCTGGCAGTCCGGCTGCTGTGCTCACTCAGGATCACCTCCAGCAGTTTGCTCAGGACTATGTCCAGTTGGATTTCAAGTATTTCCAAGGACTGAGGCACTACAGCCTCTGTGAGTAAACTCTTCCAGTGTTTTACCACCCTTAGAGTAAGAAAGCCTTATGTTTAGACAAAATGTCTTGCATTTCAGTTTGCATCCATTGCCTTTTGTTCTCCTCCCCTTCTCACAGAAAATGAGCAGTTTCGTGTATCTAACTTCAAATATAGCATATTCATCAGGCTTTTGCTTAGTAGGTAAAATTAAAGAACACACCCAATAGCTTGTAGACCCCTCTTCAGGCAGGTCAGGGGAACTGGAAAGATCAGAGAGATGGCCAAGAAGGCCAGCAGCAACAACAGCAGCTAGCTGTACTAAGTTCCATAGACATAAATACCCAAGTAGTACTCACTCCAACTAGCCACACATATACTTAGCAGGTGAGAAAAAAATACAGGCAGAAATGACAACAAGGATCTACCCAAGTTGTCTCAAACACTGTTTTGCCGCAGTAAACATGGTATCATACATTGCAAAGGATCATACAGGAATTTCAGGTACTTTACAGGTGCTTATGTCCTCCATGCCAGAGACACGTGAGGGGATAGCCTGTCCAACATGAAGGACACAAATACAGGAAACCTTAAGAGAAATGTTTAATTGGGTTCAGAGTCCTCAGAACACGTACCACAGCCACTACCTTTGCTACTTCCTAAGCACTAGCTATGCATCAAGTGTTCTGAACAGCACAAGCATTAACCTAATACAAAAGCAATAATCAACAAATATTAACTGATATATTGAGAAATAGAATCACCTTTTCACTTGAACAATTATGCTCATATAACTTGTCCTGGTTTAAAACACAGAAACCAGTAATAGCGAAGTACTATTTGCACACTATTATGGTTGAACAGCCAAGGTATTAAACCTTCTAGTATATGAATGTACTGGAGTTTTGGAGTAGTGTTAACAAGCCATTTGATGAGGTAGCAATATGCTGTAGGCTGACAATTAGCTTTTGTTGGGCAATGAGCAGATGTTTAGCATTTCATATACTTTCATCTGAGAAGGTGCTATTGAGCAGTGTCACTGTAAATTGGAGTTTAACATTTACATGAGTTACATCTAAGATCCTTTAGTAGTGAGAGATACTGCACTAAGCCATTCAGGCTGCTAATACCAGGAAGAACTCAGTCTATGATCTGGTGCATTAACCAAGATTTCAGTGAAGGAGCTTCAATGGAAAGACTTAGGAAGGCAAAATAATGCCGGTAGTAAAGAGATGTGCAATACTTACTTGGATTCAGCAGATTGCCAGGGTTTGGTGGTTTTGTTTTTGGTTTGAAGAGCCATTAGAAATTTTTCAAGAAGATAAATTGTTTATCAAAGATAGGTTTTACATGGGAAGGCTCTTTAGCAAAGAGTCACTTGGAAGGCATATGCCATATGGAAGGGAAAAGATGACAATGGGGACTCTTCAGGTGTTTATGTGGCTGTGGTTGACAGACTAGATTCACTAAGACTACAGACATGTTCTCACGGCTTTCACCTGTGTATAACCAGCAAGTGATAAGCTCTTTTCCTCCACATGCTGAGATGTGGGATCTCTGAAGCCTCTAACAGGAATTGTTGCTCAAAGAGGGTCCCTTACTGTGTAAACATAGTTTCTTGATGTTCTTGTCTATAACTGAGCCTAGAGTTAGTTTAGGTCTAACTCACTACAAAATCATGACATACACAAAATCAATTCAATTTGGTTTTTAAACCTGGGTGACACTAAAGTCTCTTGACGTTTTAGCATTGTTCCTCTTCATCCATTGTTGATGTATAGAGGGACACAGCGGAATCAAAACCCACCCTATAGGTAACCCTGCTTCCATTACAAAGTTTCTTTCACTAAACCACAATGATACAAGATGTGCTATTCACTAACTAATCCACGTACTCTTTTTTCACACTCCTCTCATGACCCAGAGAAAGCTGTGTCGCAAGAATGTAGCCTTCCTAAGGGTAAAAGATGTGCCCTGCCAACACTGACTCTGTTTGCAGAGACAAGCAAAACAAATCAAGCAGAAACTCAGTGCTTTTCAAACATACTATATACTCTGCTCTTGCCAGTTTAACTCATGAAAGATTTCGCTGTCCTTGAATATGAGTCTTATGTTCCATGAATGGAAAGCAGCTCTGTCCACTCTGGCTGAGAAAGGAAGAAAACGCACCATGGACTAACTGTGCAGGTCTTCAAAACTAGTTCTGACACTTGTAGCTCCTATGAAGCTATATTCAATAAATAATTTTATCTCAAATCTTTGAACCCTGTGGGTACCTAACACTACACTGTATTTCTTCAGGGATGAATGGCCCCCGAAATAGGAATAGACAAACTCTTCTGACCTAATTGATCTTTCCTGTACGCCACACAAGAAATGTTTGAGGTACTTTTTTAACAAGCAATGAAACGTCTTATGCCTTTTCCAGTTCTATTTCCTCTTTTACTCTCTAATTCCCTAAAAATCTTTAGTAAAGACAGATGAGTACATTATATTCTCTTAAAACACAACTTCTTGACATCTAAGGTGTACCTCCTTCCTGTCTCATTGCAAGCTGAGAGGAACGCATAACATTGAAATCACTTCCCAGTAGGAAACATTCTTTTCTGAACCACAAAGATAAAGCATATATGCTGTTCACTGACTCCTGCATTGGTTCATTTTTCATGCCCATTCTACACTTTCAGGGCCCTGTGCTCTCTCTCAGGTTTAGTTTAGCTAACGGGTTGAGCTATGGCTGGCCGTGGTGAAGAACGTTTTAAACGTGATGATCTCTCATGAGACCCCACCTGGAATACTGCATGCAATTCTGGTGTCCTCAGCAAAAGAAGGACATAGAACTGTTGGAGCAAGTCCAGAGGAGGCCACGAAGTTGCTAAGAGGACTGGAGCATCTCCCCTATAAGGACAGGCTGAGGAAGTTGGGGCTGTTCAGCCTGGAGAAGGCTGCATGGAGACCTCATAGCAACTTTTCAATATCTGAAGGGCCTACGGGGGAGCCAGAGAGGGACTCTTTGTTAGGAGCTGCAATGATAGGACAAAGGGTAATGGGCTCAAATTGAGGGAGGGAAAGTTTAGATTAGATATTAGAAAAAAGTTTTTTACTGTAAGGGTGGTGAGACACTGGAACATGTTGCCCAGGAAGTGGTGGCTGTCCTGACCCTGGCAGTGTTCAAGGCCAGGCTGGATGAGGCCTTGAGCAACCTGATCTAGGGAGGAGGTGTCCCTGCCCATGGTAGGGGGGGTTGGGACTAGATGATCTGTAAGGTCCATTCCAACCAAAAAATTATAGGATTCTAGGATTCTAGGATTACATGTGAATTAATGCATTTCTTAGGATATGAAATTTCATTAGCCTGCTTCTTTAATTCACATTAATTAGAAAAACAACACAAGAGGATTGTGTGGTATATGCTACTCAGACCTGGCCAGTTTCCCTGAGATCCACATGAATCACAAAGCTAGCATGAGAAAAACATGTTCCCTGACCAGAAAGCAAAAGTTCTGCTGCAAAAGATGGCTGCAACCTGTTCTCTGCTCCCACTCAGTATCTCCAGGTTTTCATTTGTGTTTGATTGGTTTGGGTTTTGGTTTGGTTATTTTAAATCACATTGTGAATGCAAAGTGTTTGATTTTCGTTATAAGTCGCTATATCGGGAAGCTCTGAGAAACACACCCAGAAAAATACACCTCCTCTTCTCACCTGAGCTGAAAAGAATGCCCCTGCCACATATCAGCTGTTCACAGTGAGCACTCTGATCAAATCAGGTTGCTGAAAAATGCTTCTTCCCTTGTTTCCATCTATGGCTTTGCCCTTAGGAGAACTGAAAAACAGCTGTGTG